AGGTAATCACACATCCTGTCATGTTCACAGCTGCAGTTGATACCTTTGGTATCGTGTTGCTCTCAGATTGGAAGAGGACATTCACTATTTTCCCAACAATTTTCTAAATATTTGTGGGTTTATTTCCTTTTTACTGATGTTTCTGTTTGTCGCTTGTTCATGACGGTGTGTTTGCTTCCTCTCTTTCAGGGAAAGTCCTGCCCGGCGTGGACGCACTGAGCAGCGCCTAAACTTCCCATCAGCCCGTTGGTGTGTGCGTGAATGTGTGTGTGGAAGTGTTTGTGAGATGTGTGTATTTACTCCTGAAATTCCCTCAAAACAAACGCCGCTTTACCAGCTATTAAATCTTCTATTCCATCTTTGTTTTTAAAGTAAAACCGGAGATGTATTCTGCCTTACTTCACCTCACTGAGGAAACAAAGATCAAAAGGCTTGTTGAAGTGGAACTCGTCTAGTTTCTCAGATAATCATGTCCTGCTGAAATTTATCGGTTGTTGCTGTCGCCTGAATCTGTTCAATCTGGGCGTTAAACCCCAAAATACGTAAGCATTGCTCCTGTGTGAATGCTGCGTCACTTTTGCATAGCCAACCATGGAAAACGTCACTTTACCACCCGGAGTGTGTGTATACATAAAGTATACATATAAGAATTATGTGTGTATGTAGACGTTGTGTCTTTAAATCTGGTCGTTGGTTTCTGAGCGTCTTCATCTGATCTGCTCAGATTAATAAAACCGTGTAAAAACCTTCCTGTCTGAGTCTTCATTGTAAGGACGTGTCGTGATCACAAGTCCATCATTACACGGGTTATAATAAAACATAGATTTAATTTAAAACTATCACCTCGTAAAACTCAGTTATTGTTTGACTCCGCTACGTGTACCTGGCCGCTTTAGTTACTTCACAAATGTTGATTTTAGCACACGATAGTATTAAGAGTTCAGCTGGTTGATATATTATCCCGCATGTGTGACTTTTAACGTGAAATCCTTCATTTCTCTATTAGAAATGACCGTGGCGAGAACAAACGTTCTAATATTAAGAGATACAAATCAGACAGAAGTCAACTAAAGCTGGAAAGGAATTCTGCTGATAAACTTCTATTGAAATCACTTTAATAAATATGGAAGAAACTAATCCTATGGGTTCGATCTCTAACCCTGTTGTGAGTTATACATAATGCCTGCTCTCTCACCTTTCATGCAAAACAATTATTTTAAATTAGCTCTATAAACATCCAGAGCTTGCTTTAAGCCTAACCCCTTATTTTATTTTAACCCCTATTCAGTGTTTTATTTTAAGTCAAATCAAATGTGATATAAATAAAAGGTTTTACTCTAGGTTTGTGAGGAGCAGTAACAGTTTTTCAAATAATTCACTTTTGAAAACACTTGCTGAAAGTTCATAACTAATATTTTAAAATGTTGACTCTAGAAAGCACCTAAATATTTCAGAATACCAACAAGAAAACATGTTTGTAATTATATTATAACATATTTTTCACCTGTAGATGGCAGCCAAGCTCCATGAGCGTTTATTCACACAGTTGTCTACATCATTAACACATGACACAGAGCAGGAACACAAATACTTAAAAAAAATAATAATTTTACTTTGAATTTAACTCAAAGAGGTCAGGGTGCAGGAACATCGTCTCTGCTGTCAGCCGTTCTCATTCACATAATCTGGCTCATCTGTAAGAAAATAAAAAGACTGTTTCGATATGTGTTTCTACTCGATTTCCCAGGAGAAATATTTCTCATTTTAAAAAATACCACTGACGTTCTGTCAGGGAGTCCAGGGGAAAATGGAAAGCAAAGTAATACAAAGTTTCAAATAGACGCACAAATGAGACTAAAAAAATACACAAAGACGGGAGATGGCATCACAATTCTATAAGATTAAGAACAAACTGGGATAGATAACCTAAAAAACGAACATACCAGCAGGTTAAACACCGTTAAAAGAATCTATGACCACCTACATTTCTCTTTGTTTCCATCAACTCCAAAACCCAAAGATATTTACTTTACAGAGGGTGAAACCGATAAAAGCAGCAACACTTGACATTACTCAAAATAGGACTTCAAACAATTAAAGGTAGGGTAGGTAAGAATGGAGAAACAAGCTCGAGTGCGCTAGAATTTGAAAATACACAACCGGAAGAAATCTGCCCCTTCAGACCATAGATATAAATATATATATATATGCTTCAGACTTCCTTACAGAGCCCCTCCTCCAACGCACATGACCAATGACGGCACGAGATAAGTTTGTGCACGAGATAGGACAGGCAGGTAGGCCATCCAGTACTACGGCTTCCACAGATGACATTTTTTATATATTTATTGTCAAAGCATTTAATTTATTCATTGCTATCGGGATGTTAAGAGCATTCCATGGAATATAACAAA